AGGTGGGGGGAAAGAAAAGAAAGAAAAAGGAGCAAATTTTTCCATACCCCCCCCCCCCCAAAAAAAAAAAACAAAACAAAAAAAAAACAAACAAAAACCTAAATAGTGTTGCGTTCTTTTGAATGCAGCACGACTTTCGCAATCTTTGCAGTGACAGACAATCTTAGCCACTTCCTCTCTGCCAAACAGCTCAAGCTCAGTCCGGGTTGGACGGAGAGGATTTAGGTAACGGACGCTGACGGGAAGATGTTCTGAGCTAAAATCGTTCCATCGCGTCTGCGGTTTGCTGGACGGTCGACCCCTGCCACGGTCTGAAGGCGTTTGCAGCCTCCTAACAGGTTTCCTTCCAGCTCATTTTCCATCCAGCTGGAAAACTTTCTTTGTCTCTACTGAAGAAATGCCCCCAAGCAGCATGTCACCGTGTGAGAAAATGTTCAAGTAGTATGAATACTTTTGCAAAACCCTGTATGGATGTCATTTTTTATTTTTTATTTTTTGCTATTACAGTTAGAGAATAATAATAATAATAATAAAAACTACAGTTCCAAAGGGAACTTTATGGCTTTCTTGTCAGGATTTTTCTGATGTGGGCAGTTGTGATGGGCAGATGGACACGGCGCCGTATGAAGCGTCCCTTTTTACCGACGATGCGCCCCTAGCGAACATGGTGTGCAACGGAACGACACATTTGGGTCACAGGTGTCACACGCTTCAATCCTCAGGCTCGACATCAGACACACAAATGGCAGTTCTACTTACTGAACACACACACACGCGCGCAATTATTTCACAGCTCGCCAGGAGCTAAAATTTTTTCCACACTTAACAACACAAACGTCAATCTACATTCTCAATGCATGCAGTGTCGTGTTTACTCGGACTTAGTTACAAGGTGCCAGGTGTGTTTTTTAGTTGTTTTTTTTTTTTTTTTTTTTAGATATTTTGAGTTTAATTCAGGCTTATTAAATTGTTAGATAGTTGAACTCTTTGATAAGACTAAAAACTTTAAGGTGACATCATTTCTGAGTGAAATCTGACTCATTTTGTTGTTTCTTGTTTCGTCTCTGCTTCTGCTGACTGATGTCTGCTGACGCCTGAAGTGTGTGGCTAACAGTAGCAGCTGAAGCAGGGGGGGGAGCTACCCCAGGTGGCTCTTAATAATGTATACAGTGCAGTTGTGTGTTAGTGAATATTTACATGGGCAGAAATTAACAACTACGGGAAGAGAGAGACGGGAGCTTGGCACACTGACACAGACCCAGGAAGGTCTGTACAACCAAGTGGAAATTAACATGTGGGAGAGATTGTATTTCTGTCTTCATCCTCTGCCTCCTCCTCCTCCTCTTTCTTCTCACTGTGTGGGGGAACAGTCGTCCAGATCCAGCAGCTCCCTGACCAGTCTCTCTCCAAACTGTGCTCGGCTGTAGCGCTTGACGGCGTAGGCGTCGGACATCTTGTAAAGGATGTACGCGTTATTGATGGCGATGCTGATGCTCAACCAGAACACCTGCTGCCAAGTCTTGTTGGGCTTATGGAAGATAAAATATCTATAAGACAGAGAGAAAGAAACAAACCAAAAAAAAAAGACGTGTGAGACCTGTGGTGCTCATGCAGTTTCACTTGTTGGCCCCTTTTCAGGGCGGCTTATATGAGAAATAAAATGTGCTCAAGTGGTTATTGTTTGTAAGGCAATGTTGGAGTGTTATTTTCCTATTGCATTATGTCTTCCTACACCACTGAAATGAAGGACAGATACAAAATAACATGTTAGGGGTAGAGCAGATGAATAAACTATTTATATGAAAAAAAAAAAGCTGTTTATTATTGTGAAAAACTAAAAACGGCGCAGCAACCTTTTTACTGAACCTAGTGGTCGTCATAACCCGGGGTTTTATGTTTAAATTTGAATCCTAAAATGATTTCCTGTTCAACAAGAAGTTTGTTTATGGTAGAAATGAGACGGGTCTCTCAAAGTAACACCTATTGTAAATCGAGAATAATTCATGAAAATTTAATTATCATTTTTCTTAATAATCAGTAGAAACATTTTTATTAAAGCACAAAAAAAAAAAAAAAAATAACCCTTATATAATAGCTGGCCAGCTTTCAGCATGTTTCTACTGATATTTTGACCATTCAACTTTAGCAATGAGCTCAAAGTCTTTGCTCAGAGCAATCTTCTGCTCCCTCGTCTGATTCTCAGTGATGTTCAAGTAAGGATTATTCCAGAAAATTCCGGTCAGTAGAAACAATATCGCTTTAAATTTCAACCTGCCAAGTGTAGGAATAGCTTGCTAGCTAGTTTCATCTAGCCAGTACTGAGAACCTGGAGAGAACAAGCGAGCCCCATGCAGAGGCACCGTCAGGTCTGCACATACTTGCTGTACTTGTCGTCGTATTTGCAGATGTAGCTGAGATGTGCCGCAAAGGCTTCGACGGCAAGGGGGCACGGGATTTCTCCGCTTTTCCTCTTAATAATCACTCCTGCCAAAAAAAAAAAAAAAAAAAAGGACACACAAGAAATAGCTGAGAGTTAGCATAGAGAACAGGAGACAGAAAGAAATCCATGTAAACATACCTGCCACCATTTTTGCATTATTTTGTTTGCACATTTTCACTTTTGCTCAATCGCGGAAATTAAAACTTGATACCGTTTCCACAAATATCAATCGACCGCGGTGTTGATGCTTCAAACGAAATGAAAGGATTAGAGGCTATTTTGCTATTAATTCCAGATTACAAACCATTCCCACACAGACTCCCACACACACGTGCACACACAGGCCAAAGAAAATCAATACTAGATAGTAACCATTTAACTGATCTGCTTCCTCACTTCCACACTCCTCCAGCATGAACACGGCTGGATTTAAAACCTAACGAAGTGGATTAGACCGTATGAGGGTGTTTATGCAACATCATGATCCTCTCGGCTCCTAAAAAAAGGATTATTGTGGATTAAAAGCTCTCATTGTTTCTCAGTGTCAGGAATGCTTGATAATGGGGGGTGGGGGGAGAAATCTTCTGATGGCAAACTCGCACCACAGAACAATGTTGAAGTTTATTTCACCTAATCAGAAGACAGTTTTCCTTTCACGCAGCAAAGCAGATTGTGTGTTAGAAACAGACATTTCAACCTAAAGCTGTTTAAACAGGACGCATTGAAGAAGGTCTTATTTCCTCATTCACCTTCTTTAGTTGGTGAGTAGGCATTAGTAATGAACCTGAAGTGTCCCTTATTGTACCAGCTGATCAGAGACATGCTGCCCTTCATCATCACGCGTGACTGGCCGCGCTGCGCCGGCGTGGAGCTGCAGACCAGCATGCTTTGGGGCAGACCTGTGCAGTCACTCTTCCTGGTGCTCAGCAAGCCACAGCAGTAGATATCTGAACAGAGAAGAGAGAAACATATACAAGCAGGGTTTTTTTTTTTCATGTTTATGTTTCAAAAGAGAACATTAAATGACTCACGGAGGGCGACACCCTCTTTGGATTTGTATGCTTAAAAACCAAAAACCTTCCCCTTCCGTTTACAACAATGCGCTACCTGTGATGGTTTGTAATATTTAATCTTAAGAAAATGCACAGATTGTTTTGGTAGCAGAGCGACAGAGTGTACAAAAGTCCAAGAGTGTGTGTGAGCACTTTTTCGAGGCTGGCTTCTCGGGTTGGATTTGGCGGAAATATAAATTTGACGAACGACTAAATGACTAATTTACGAACCACGACGAGAGCTTTCGTTCCGTCTTCCTGTTTAGTTTGGGAACTAGAAACTTGCAGGACCGTTTCGGCTGTTCACCCTCTTTCATCAGTGCGTACAATTGACTCTCTTTGCCTCTTCCTCGGACGAGAAAGAGGCAAAACAGGCATGTTGGGCGGCCACCGCTGATGTGTCAACGGTTCACAAAGCGGCATCCGTCTCCGCTCACGAGTGTGCACGACTGCTGCAGAATAACGCGGAGCAATTAAGTCCCCTAATTAAACACGCGAGATAAAACTGAGACACAAAATTGTTGGACAATGTGTGTTCAGCCAGATATGTATCGTAAGGGAGGAGGGGGGGGGG